ATGCTGGAGTTTTTCGTGCATCTAGGGCAGGGGGGGGCACCGTGAGGACCATATATTTTGCCATGGAATGTTGGAGATGAAGTTAATCCTCAACAAGGGGGCACAGCCACAATATTTTCGGGGATGGGGGTTGTTAAAATGGCAATATCTCATGCAATGGCATGTTTGTAGCTCAGCTTCTGGGGGGTGGGCTAAGTGATCATATTGTTTGCCATGAAATGTGAATTGCTGGGGTTTGCAGTTCATCATATGGAAAGGGGGGGGGGGGGGCCCAAAGTGACAATAGCTTTTTGCCATGACATGTTAGGGTTTGTAGTTAATCTACAGATGGGGGGGCACAGTGACCAAATCTCCTGCCATGATGCCATGAAATGCTGGGGTTTGTAGTTTATCTTCTGGGAGGTTGGGTGGTGGTGGTGGGGGGGGATTGATCATATCTCCCGCTATGACATGTTGGAGTTCATAGTTAATCTACAGCAGGGGAACACAATGACCATATCTCCTGCCATGACATGCTGGGATTTGTAGTTTATCTTGTGGGGTGGACGAACAGTGACAATATCTTCTGCCATGACATGTTGGAGTTTGTAGTTCATCTAAGGAGGACAAAGTGACAGTAAGCTCTCGAGGGATTTGCAAGGGCAGTCTGACATTCGGGAGATGTCCCTGGATTTATCAATGACTAACCTTACATTGTCTATCAATTCTCAAATATTTTAAAGTGATATGAAACTGTTTTACAGCAATGGCTTTATATATGTTAACCCTTTGAGGACCAAGGGACGTATTTGTCCCATGTTTTTAATTGCGTGTATCATCTGATTAGGAACTTAAAACTTTTTTTTTTTTTTTTTTTTTTTTTTTTTTTTTTTTGAGTCAAAATAGTAGTTCTTATCAACAGACAACAAATGGATCTAGCTTATTGCCAATTATTTCATGAAATGGCTTAGTTACAGCAACTGAAGTGTACGAACTTTAAAAAAAAAAAAATTGATTCTTTTGGCGTTCCAAAATCTTACAATCCTCAAAGGGTTAAGTCATGTATGCAGTGTCTCTGTCATTACACTGGTGTAGGATGGGGACACTGGGGAGTTGGAACAAAGAAACCATATCTGCCAGTAAAATCTGGACTCAGTAAAACTGCTATGTATTGTGGTGACACTATGTAATGTATCAGTGTCCAGCAGAGTACTGGTTAATCTTGTAGGAAGGAGTTTTCATACCCCCCCCCCCCCCCACCCTAAAAAAAAAAAGAACCTCTAGCAATACACACCAAACTGAGCATGTGCAGATTGCCTCCAAAGCTCTGTTCTATCAGCAGATGGATTGGGGACAGTATAAAGAAGAGGGTCAGAGGACACAGGATGAAACATGCTTTTTACACAATGCAGGGGATTAACCCCTTAGTTTCCACAGTGAATAGAACAAGCATGCTTTACTGCATATACAGACTGATTATACTGTTGTGGGTTTAGTAACACTTTAATTTTTAAATCTGTCAGCTTTCAGACCACAATGTTTATCTATAAAAGGCAATGTTACATATTTGATACAAATAAGTGCTAAAGCCATAAAGATCACAGTATTTTAATCTTCAAATATACTTTGTACTGAAGGATGATAGGGAAAAAACTTAATGTACAATGAAGATTGCAGAATTGTATATCTACTGTACTATTAGACTTGGCTTTTTTTTTTTTTTTGCATTAAACATTATAGGACTTTCACTTCTGTGCATAAAACACTAGAACTTTTGTACATAAATCACTATGGGATCTGCAGTTCTGTGCATGAAACATTATGGGATTTGTAGTTCTGTTCAGCATGCACAACTGGTCCTGCATACAATTGCATTCAGATATGGCAAGAATGACTAGAAAATATATCAAATCAGCCAAAAAATACCTGTTGAGTATGCTCGAAATCGTTACCATTATCACACCCTTAAAATATATAGCAGAGAGGTCCATAATTTAAAAAACAAATCCACTGCTCCTCACTAGTAATATATAATCTTAGAATACATACTAACAGACTATCTCTTATAATAATATAATAAAATCTTACTGGATTTGGAAATAAAGCCATTGTAAATGGATAGAATCATTTATAATGAGGACGTTTCCTCTATTTCAAGAGAGCTAGCAAGTAATTCTTGATTTGAAAAATGCCAATAGCAAATGAAACAAAGGAAATCTACTGTATATCTGTAGGATACAAGGAATCTCTGATATTTGAATATTTTCACTAGTTTATCATGTATGGGTTCCATTATAGAAATCTGTTATTTTGCTCTAATCATGGCCATGCAGCCAGAAAAACTTGGCATGGGCAGGGTGTACTCCCTATGTGATACACAGATATGAAACAAATCCTCCTACATAAGTTGTACCTGTCTATCTGCAGTCTTCTCTTCTTTTAAATCTGTTCAAAGTGCTGAATTTATAAAGCGTGTCTGGGAGTTCAGAAAAAAGGGGGTGGATTCATGGATTGGACGAATACATTTTGTTAAGATGATAATAGTACCAAAAATCCTGTATAAATTTCAAATGCTCCCAATAAACTTACCTGGATCCTTTTTTTAAGATGAGAAAAATAAGGGGGTATATATGGGAAAATAAAAAAACAAGAATTAAACATGAAACCCTATGTAATAAAAAAAAGAGAACGGAGGATTACATTTGCCAAATATAAGGAGATATTATAAATCCGTATTATTAGCAAGGGTGGTGGAATGGACATATAAGTCACAGGAAAAAAGTGGGGTCATGATGGAAAGTATATTAAGTAATGCACGAATGGAGAAGATTATTTGGATTCCATGAAAATTTTGATTAATAGATGAAAAAAGTAATCTGGGTTTGATCAAATGCTTTTAAGGGCAGAGGAGAGAGCTGGGGTCTAATAGACCCCATATTTCCCCATAAAGAGGACCTATCACTGGATAAAATTTGCCATGTTCTTTTTCTCAATGGTATACATGTATACGCACATCCCACAAGCATATGTAAACAGCAATTGTACCACACTTGTGAGGTATCAGCACAAACATCAGGGCAAGACCAATAATTCTAGCACAGGGGAGGACTGACCATTTGGAAACTTGGGCTCTGCCCGAGGGCCCGGGATCAGTAGGGGACCCCATGAGATGCCCCTGGTACTTTTTTTTTTTTTTTTTTTTTTTTTTTTTTTTTTTTTTTTTTTTTTTTATAGGCTTTTTTGAGTTTGGGCAAGGACACGGGCCCCATGATCCTCTATTGCCCGGGGGCCCCATGAGTAGCCAGTCTGCCCCTGTTCTAGCACCAGAGCTCCTGTGTAACTCTAAACTAGGAACCTGTAAAGTCTCAAAGCGTCACTTATGGAGATTAAGTACTGTAGTTTGTAGCCATTCCACAAGCATGCGCAGTTTTAAAGCACAACATGTTGGGTACCAATTTATTTAGTGCAACATCATTTTTTTTTAAATAGTACCAAACAGTTGGGAATCATTTGTTTTTTCTGCATTAAAATTTATTAGTGTATTTATTTCCCCAAAAATTGTGTTTGAAAAACTGTTCACTATATATTCATTAGGGCCTCTGCTTAAAAAAATTTATGTTTTGGGTTGTAAGTAATTTTAATTCTAGCCAAAACAAAATCATAATTTTTACATGAAGGAGAGAAGTGGCGGAATAGACTTGGGGCTGAAGCGGTTAAAATAAAGTATAATATAGCTTCCTATGTATTTACTAATGCTAGCAGCATAAGGCTGCATTCACATGGCTATAGGTACAGTACATTTAGCAAAATTGTTACAAAGTGGACTTTACTTACACTTAATGAGAAAGATAAAGTGTCAACAAGCTTGAGGACTCAGCTGAATAAACTATATGCCACATCAACAGTTCAGGTCACTGACTCTAAGGTCTGGTATTTCTACCCTCTGCCACATCTACCAAAGGTGAACCCCAACTCATCCCCTAACATTACTATGTACAATTATGGAAGGACTTATTTAGCAGGCCAATGATTCATGTTTGAAGTGCAATAAAGCATAATATTCAGCCACTTTGGCTTGCCATTGACATTTTTTGGGTTGGATGATGAGTTACTGTACTCTACAAATGGTCTCTCCTTCAGTACAAAAAAACACATTGAGGGTGATTTACTGAAGAGTTAAGAAGTTGATTTAATGAAGCTTTGACAAAAAATGGAATCTGATTTGGTTTGTATGCAGAGCTGCACCAGATTTTGCACTCTCCAGTTTTAGTAAATTGACCCTACTAGTTGCAGCTACTTCTTTTTGATACATTTGTATATAAAACGCTTCCTCCGCAGTATTTGTGAGATCCTTAAATTTTTTTGTTCTGAAACTATTAGTTATTAAAAACAGATTGTGTAATTATTCTTAAAGTCTTCAGGCACACAAGATTAAATGCCAAGCAACATTGGTACAGATAATAGTTGGACTATTTATATAGCTCGGGGTAGAGCAGACAGGTAGAAATGAAACTGCATATGCTGGTATTGGAAGCTGGCATGGAATGACTGGCAAGGAGAACCTCATCCATTTGTAGAGCTCATTTATGACACCCCTAAGACTGTTTCCTCTGCTAATGCCACGTAGGATTGTAATTTTTGGATTACAACATGAAGGGTAATATAATTTCATTTAAAAAACCAGAAGACTACCCCACTCTTATTCATGTCTTCCCCATTTAAAAGACTTTTACCCACCAAATACCCTATCATCTGATTCCTCCAAGGTTTGAGGAGAGGGCAGCCTGGAGGAAGATAACCTGATAAAATGTGCTGGCCAACATTTGCTTACAGGTGCTGTGGTGGTATTGTCCACTCAAATGTCTCACTGCCCAGGGGAGATGGCACAGCACATGTTTTCTAGCTGGTAGTAGCTCCTTTCAGCAATCTCCAACAAGATGAACAATGTTGTGGTATATATTCAAAATATATATTTGCTTCATTATCATAAATAAACAACTCTCACATTGCTACATATTCAGATGAGTACCAATATTCGGCCCATACCTAATTCCCATAACTGTTCTCAGGGCCTTTTGGAACGCCTGGATGCGGGAGAGATTGTGATCGGAGATGGCGGCTTTGTATTTGCCCTGGAGAAGAGAGGCTTTGTCAAAGCTGGGCCCTGGACACCAGAAGCTGCAGTAGAGCATCCTGAGGCAGGTATGTATATATTTTATCAATTCATTTCATTGAACCCATCAGATATCACATGCCAAACTATAGTAACCAATGTATCACTGATTTTGATTCTTTGCTGTCAGTTAAATTTGTCTATACTACTATTGCTCTCTGCACTGCTTTATTAAAAAAGCTTGATGTCTGCTAATGTATTTTTTTTTTTCTTTGAGAATAACCAAAGGAAAACTGTTGCTGCATTTAATAGCTTTTAGGGTAGAGCTAGTAACAAATATATGATGGCGGTCAAGCTAACAGGTACAATTCAAACTAATTCTTTCCGTTTTTATAATTATATATATATATATATATATATATATATATATATATATATATATATATATATATATATATATATATATATATATATATTATATATATATTGCCAAAGGTATTGGGATGCAGTGCTTGTCAACTTATGAGATAAAGAGGGCCTCTGACATTACCACAAGGATGCACATAATGCTCAATATACACTATATTGCCAAAAGTATTGGGACTCCTGCCTTTACACGCATATGAACTTTAATGGCATTGCAATTTTAGTCCATAGCATTCAATATTGAGTTGGCCCGCCCTTTGCAGCTATAACAGCTTCAACTCTTCTGGGAAGGCTGTGCACAAGGTTTAGGAGTGTCTATGGGAATGTTTGACCATTCTTACAGAAGCGCATTTGTGAGGTCAGGCACTGATGTCGGACGAGAAGGCCTGGCTCGCAGTCCCTGCTCCTAATTCATCCCAAAGGTCTTCTATTGGATTGAGGTCAGGACTTTGTGCAGGTCAATCAAGTTCCTCCACCGCAAACTCGCTCATCCATGTCTTTATGGACTTTTGCTTTGTGCACTGGTGGGCAGTCATGTTGGAACAGGAAGGGGCCATCCCCAAACTGTTCCCACAAAGTTGGGAGCATGAAATTGTCCAAAATGTTTTGGTATGCTGACGCTTCAAGAGTTTCTTTCACTGGAACGAAGAGGCCAAGCCCAACCCCTGAAAATCATCCCCACACCATAATCCCCCCCCCCCCCCCCCCAACTTTACACTTGGCACAATGCAGTCAGGCAAGTACCATTTCTCCTGACAACTGCCAAACCCAGACACGTCCATCTGATTGCCAAACAGGGAAGCCTGATTGGTCACTCCAGAGAACACATCTCCAGTACTCGAGTCCAGTGTCAGCGTGCTTTACACCACTGCATCCGACACTTTACTTTGCACTTGGTGATGTAAGGCTCGGATGCAGCTGCTTGGCCATGGAGACCCATTCCATGAAGCGCTCTACACACTGTGCTAATCTGAAGGCCACACAAAGTTTGGAGGTCTTTAGCTATTGACTCTGCAGACAGTTGGCAACTTCTGTGCACTTCAGCATGGTCTGACCCCACTGTCATTTTATGTGGCCTACCACTTCGTGGATGAGTTGCTGTTGTTCCCAGTTGCTTCCACTTTGTTATAATTCCACTAACAGTTGACCGTGGAATATTTAGTAGCAAGGAAATTTCATGGATGGACTTATTGCACAGGTGGCAACCTATCACGGTACCACGCTTGAATTCACTGAGCTCCTGAGAGTGATCCATTCTTTCACAAATGTTTGTAGAAGTAGTCTGCATGCCTAGGTGCTTGATTTTATACACTTGTGGCCATGGAGGTGATTGGAACACCTGGATCCAATGATTTGGAGTGAAGTCCCAATACTTTTCGCAATATTGTGTATGTATGTCACCTGCAGCCAATACATGCTGCTCTTTAAAAACACATGGGGCTGACATTCATTTTTGCAGTGGCATCCCCACACATCTAAAAACGGAGCGCATTTGCACATGCAGAAACCGCAAGGAAATCGCATGGTGCAAAAGCAAAATGCAATTTCCCAACCGCTATGTTTTTTAAAATGCTGCAGAAAACTTTTTCCGGCTTGAAATGCAGGTACAGCAGCCCAATCAAATGACTGGGCTGCTCTGCCTGTACAAATGTGGGCCACAAATGTGCAAGATTGTGAACCTAGCCTAGGGGATCAGAAAACATCTCCCTTCACCAAAGAAATTCAGGTTTTAAAATGTGAAAAGGGGCCCAAAGCTCCACTTGCTCACTAATATTAGTATATAATCCTGTATTTCGCTAAATATAAAAATACGAAACACTCCAGGGATAAATAAACAAATGATGTTGTAATCATTCACCTAAGTGATATTTAGATGATATTTCCCTTTTCTAAAACACTGAGGTGTCTATTCGAAAAATGTGTGAATCTTGGATGGAAAATGGTGTAAAACTTGAGCACAAACATTTATAAACTGACCCCTGTGTATCATTAACAGTTGCCTTTTTAATTCAACTTTTTGGTTTAACATTTTTACACCTTTTTGGTGCATCTTGGTGCTGCTGGTTTCTTGCAGCCTCTTTGTACATATTTCTTGTCTACATGCATGCATTCCTGGCAAGAGTACATGTCGTTTGTTGGGGAATTTCCTGATGTGGACCATGGGGGAGATTTACTAAAACTGGTGAACTCCGAATCTGGTGCAGCTGTGCATGGTAGCCAATCTGCTTCTAGATTCAGCTTGTTCAGTTAAACTTTGACAAAAAAACCTTGAAGTTGATTGGTTCCTATGCAGAGCTGCACCACATTTTGCATCGTGCAATTTTAGTAAATCAACCCCCATATTTGCATAATGTGTATTGGAACAGCCATTTGTAGCTGCATAGGCAGCCAGCACTGTCCTGCCATAACAGGAAGCCCCGATCAAGTGCACCCACACTATGAAATGTACTACTCCCCCCTCAAACGAGGAGGGAGCATGATAGTGTTGTGTCCACAGACACTGCTGTAACAATCTGTGCATTCATTAATTAAAATCTCTTGTTCTGAAATGAGAAGGAAGGAGTCAGTTGGATGAGCATAATGCACTTTTCCCATATCTAGCCAACATTAAACTTTTTAGCTTGGGGTGGACAGACCAAGTCTCTTCTAAGTGATTTTGATAATAAAATGATTATGGCTTTTTGTTACTTGTATCAAGTTTACTTTACCTGTATTGCTTTCCGCTCTTTCACAGTGCGACAACTACATAGGGAGTTCCTCCGAGCTGGGGCAAATGTCATGCAGACCTTTACTTTCTATGCCAGTGATGACAAGCTGGAGAACAGGGGCAACTATGTAGCAGCGAAGATCTCAGTGAGTGTTTTGGTCTTTGTGATGAATTGTATTTTTGCATGAATATGACTTGTTCCTTACGTCTGTAAAGGGCCTGAACAGAAAGAATCACGCCTTTTGTGAAGAGCAGAGTCTGCCCAGGGGGATTCTGAACAGTAGCTGGACTCTGTCCTGGAATTAGTACTTGTGTAGAGAATGTAACCAGCTGCAAATCCTAACTATACCTAAACCTGCTCCCACCTCCATTCTAAGCCTGTTGTAACTACCGTGTGAAAGGTAAAGTATCTATATTTAAAGTGTTAATAAACCCAGGACCCTGCATTTGCTATATCTGGACTCCTACAGTACGCAGAACATGGAAATGCAATTATTTTGCTAAATATAAACTGCTAAATACCTTTTTTTTTTCATCAGCAGTTATAGCAGTCTTGTGACTTCAATCAGTGTCCAGCAGAGCACTGGTTAAGGGGGAGTTTTCAATCTCCCTGAATTGTCCTATGAGGCTGCATAACCCCTGACCCCCTGTCTGGACAGCACTGATTGGCCCTGTGCTGATCACATGCCCTCTGTAAGAGAATCTCTAGCTATACACACCAAACTGAACATGTGCACCTTGCTCCCAAGGCTCTGTTCTATCAGCAGGTGTATTGGGAACAGTAGAAGGGGAGGATCAGGGAAGACAGGATCAAACCTCCTTTTCACACAGTGCAGACGTTTAACCACTTAGGTTCCACCGTGCGTATAAGAAGCACGGTTTTCTGCATATACAGACTGATTTTACTGCTGTGGATCTAGTAACACTTATGCTGAGGGTGCTTCAGTCCAGTCACATGATGTCTCCAATGGCCAGCTGGAGAAGGGGGGAGAGAATGCTGTCTATGGCTGAATAGCCTGGGCGATGACATCACCCATATTGCTATGGGGCATCTGTTGTCCATTGTCCCTCTACACTGAAGCCTGCGCTGAGGGCTGATCATGTGTCCAGACCAGAGCACCCTCAACGTAGGAAAGTATAGAAGTTTTTCCTTTTACAGGATAGTTAGAATAGGGATGGGAACAAGTTTAAAAATAACATGTCTATACTTACCTGCTGTGTGCATTGGTTTCCCACAGAATTGCCTGAATTCTCCTCTTCTGTTCCCTGCAGTCTCCCCTTGGCCCCTCCCTCCTGTCGGGTGCCCCCACAGCAAGCTGCATGCTATGAGGTCACCCACTGCTCCATGTGTCCATTCACACGTGGAGCCAAGACTTAGTCCTGCCCCTCTCTCTTCTCATTGACTGCTCTCTCAGCCAATGAGGAGAGAAAGTCCTGGGATAGCTGAGACTCCAGTGTACATTGCTGGATCGGGAGGGGGCTTAGGTGAGTATTAGGGGGAGCTGAGAGGGCTGCTGCACAGGGAAGGTTTTTTTACCTTCATGCATAGAATGCATGAAGGTAAACCTTGAGCCTTTACAATCACTTTAAGTATAGTTAGGATTTGACTAGACTTCCACTTTAAGTGATATCTGTAAGTTGGAGCTGTTGGGCAATTTGTGCAGTCACCTTTTTTAGATCTATTAAAACTATGTAACATGAGGACCTCCCTAAACTTTCAGTCAATTTGTATCCAGTCAGGCAGGGCCTTGCACCAAATAGCTGTTTATCGATCTAAAGTAGACCATACAGTAAAATTATAACCTGTATGGTAAGCAATAGTTGTGGCTGTAAGGTGAGCTGTGAAAGCTGCTTAAAACATCAGGATGTAAAGAATGTCTATTGCAATAAGCTGACCTGGGCTTGGATGGTGCTGGGGGGAGTGCCTGGGGCAGTCCTGGTTGGTGCTCCCCCAGATGCTTTGCATCACCTCGGTGTGAAATGAAAGATTGCTCAGACAAATGCATAAATCTGTCATACCACAGCCTGTTATGCCCAGCTGTATATTAATTCCATACTATTAATGTATATTTGAAAATACCTGACACTTCTATTCTATTTCCAGGGCCAGAAGGTCAATGAAGCTGCCTGTGATATAGCACGGGAGGTGGCAAATGAAGGTGATGCCCTGGTGGCAGGTGGGGTTAGCCAAACTCCATCGTATCTCAGCTGTAAGAGTGAATCTGACGTGAAATCAATATTCCGAAAACAACTTGACGTCTTTGTTAAGAAAAATGTTGATTTTCTCATTGCTGAGGTGAGAACTAATATCAGGTATGATTCTCATTGCCCAAAATGATTCCACCATAGAGGTCCTCTAGCTACTTTAATATAAAGTTCCAGTTTTGAACATAACTGAAGCCATTCCCATCTTGCTTATCGTGTGTCAAATATTCCTTAATTGCTTTCTTTGTGTATGTATTAGGATACCATCTACTTTGAAAGGTTTTGATAGTTTACCAGAATTTATCTCGAGAGGATCTGCCTTTGTAATCACATGATCAGCCTCAGTGCTGTATTAAAAAACCCTGTCTTTCCTTTACACCTGGATAAAACTCCTCAAACTTTCAGTGCAGTGAACCGAAGAAAATTACCGGGGATCCTTTATACCAGTGGTCTCCAAACTGGCCAGAGAGCCAGATATGTCCCTTTTTTGCTTGTCTCTATCTGGCCCTTGAGGCACTATTTCTCCCACTGAAACAAGCTGCTCTTCCTTCCGCTGACACCAATGATGAGACACCATTCCAACGAAGGGGCACTGTTCCTCCCACAAATACCAATGATAGGACATTGATGGGTTGACCATTGATTTATGTCCATGACACCAGGCGTTTTCTACTCCCACTGGCCAGTCTGGCCCTCCTAAACTGAGGGACAGTAAATTGGCCCTTTTTGTTTAGAAAGATTGGAGACCCCTGCTTTATACCATGCAAAGGGGAGGCTGTTTTTCAATTGAAACATCTATGCATTTGTCTGGGAGAAGACTATGAGCCAGTTCAACAAGCAGGGGGATGAAGAGCTCCTTTCTGCATACCTAGTACTGCTTCCATGGTTGCAAGGAAGATGAAACAGAATCAATCAAGTAGTTTTTAGAGGAACAACAAAAGGAACTAAACAGTCAGGTGAGAATGACCAAAAAGATTCAAAGGGCCTTCCCATAAAACCCTGAATTACAGTATCACCTTGCTTAACAGAAGTTATTTCATGTATTTAGATTGTAAGCTCCACGTGCAGGGCCCTCATATTCCTCCTGTACTGAAATGTATTGTAATTGTACTGTCTCACTTATATTGTAAAGCGCTGAGCAAACTGTTGGCGCTATATAAATCCTGTATAATAATGTAGTAGTTTTTGACAGAAAAAGAATAAGATGTATTCCACCCTTAACGCAAACCTTCACGTGCCTGCATGCTTGACTAATTTTTTGGGCTTTGTAATAGATGAAGTAACAGTCTTTCAGATTGAAATGTTGTTTGCCTGTCCTTGCCTCTCCTTGTGTCCCTGTGGCTACTGCATTTGATGGGGTCAATAGGGAGAAGAGGAAAGGGCAGATCAAAGAACAATTTTGTTTAAGGCAAGTCAGGTATACAGGCACTAACTGTGGTTGTTACAGGTTGCCTGAGCCTGTAACAACCACAGCTTTGCTTTCTGGAATAGTGAGTAGATAAATGTCTTGGTCCTTAGCTGTCCAGATGCCCTTCTATTGCCCTGTCGCATGCATTCCATTTCCATTTCTTTCCTGAGGCAACCTGTCTACCTGGAGGGGCATAGCCAAATGTCACTACATCATAACTAGTCCTGATTGGTCATGCACTCTTTGAAATGGCAACTTTTTTTCTCTTTCAACTAATAGTTTAACTTAAAGAAACATCTCAGATTTGATCTTCATTGCTAACCTGACCCTGTGTAAGCTCTACCTGGGCTAACCTTGTTTAAGTCAAAGCTTTCACATTGCTTGACATGCACACAGGGTGAGAGGGTACATATAGTTGGCAGGTAGTTTAAGGACATCCTGTTCCCTGTAATTGGACTTCAATTTTACTGTAACCACCATTCTTTCAGTACTTTGAGCATGTGGAGGAGGCAGTGTGGGCTGTGGAGGTCCTGAAAGAAGCAGGAAAGCCAGTGGCTGCTACATTATGTATTGGACCAGAAGGAGACATGAATGGGGTTCCTCCAGGGCAGTGTGCAGTCAGACTGGCAAAAGCTGGTAAGTTTAAGCCAAAATTTTAGTTCTGAAGCCACAGATTTTACTTTTTCAGCTGGCATACTGGAATCGGTCTTGATGCATCTGAGCCATTTTTTAGTCTGGCCCATGATATTGCTTGGTTCCCTTTTGGAAAACCGCTCAACCTGGTCATGCATCCCATGCTATTGGTTGAAGCCAAGCACTGTGGCTGTCCAAGCCAACTAAACCTGCCCCATTGATTGACACAAGGGGTTGATTTACCAAAGACTTTTTCCCTTGCAAAGTGAATTTTCCTCAGAGCTTGGTAAATTAAGTGAGGCTCTGCTGACATCAATCATCCAATCATGTGCAATAAAATGACTTTTTTTTTTTTTTTTTTTTTTTTTTTTTAAATTTCCTTGTATGCGATTGGGCATTCTTTGCAAAGTTTAATTTCACCACATTCACTAAGCTATGGGAAAATTTCTATGGCTAAATGCAATTTCCCTTGCAAAGTGTACAGCCGATTTGCCTTTTGTAAATCAACCACCAGGAGTTTGAGCAGTTCCATGTTATTTCAGTATTACTGTTCATGAGTCTGGCTAATCTCTGCCCACTAAATACAAGGGCTGCTATTCCAAGAATCAAGAAAATTTTAGTGACTACACAAGTAGGAGCTGTTTGTCAGCCCCATTTTTAATTTTTTTTTTTTATTACATCTTGAAAGCCCAGTAAAGTTAAAACTTCTTTTCATGTCTGTTTTTGCCATTTCCGTAGCTCTGTCTATAGTCATTCATACAAATGTCTTTGTTCTGTACTCTAGGTGCCTCTGTTGTTGGGGTTAATTGCCACTTTGACCCAATGACCTGTGTTGCAACCGTGAAGCTCATGAAGGAAGGTTTGACTGCTGCCAATGTGAAGGCACATCTGATGACCCAACCACTTGCATATCATACACCTGACTGTGGCAAACAAGGTTTTATTGACCTGCCAGAGTTCCCCTTTGGTATGTTCACTAATACTGCAGAGATCACTGCTTTCCTGGAAAAAGATTATTCACATGCTTCTCTGATAGATTTCCTCCCAGCAAAGAGATGCAGTGTCTGCATGTCTTGATACAGACCAAACTAGACTAGCGAAGTATACGGTTACTGAATGAAGTGCATACCCCATTTACCAGCAGGGGACATAGAATTCTCACCAAGGTGCAACTGTAGAGTGACAGGTTTTTCCGGAGCCATTGCAAGTGTAGATGTTGTGCTTTAGATATTACTAGAGTGGCCCTCAGGAGTGCCACAATTAAGACAGCTGGCTTGTGTTTGCAGGGCCAAAACCCAGTGCTAAGTTGCAGAGTAGGACAAGATCAGGAAAGGCTGAATCTCAGGGCAAGAGACAGGCAAATATAGTCAGGAGACGAGCCGGAGGTTTCGGCAGGAAGCAGGCAAAAACCGAGATTAGTCCAAGTCATTACTGGAGGCAACTATAAGTACCAATAGCCAAAACTAGAGTAGACTTATTCCAAAAACAGTCATAAAGATCTATATCTGACAAACAGCCTGGCAGAAATGGGAACCTTTGGTCAGTGATTTGCTCCCAATTTAAACCTTGCTGATTAAGACCAGGTGTGGCACTATGGTATTACTACATTGCAGTGCTAAAAATCATCCAGCAAATGGAGGTAAGCATCTAGTTACCCCTGGTTCACATATTCGCGTTCCTGCGGGCAGTGTTTTGCGTGGGCACGAGAGCCCATTCATTTGGACTCCTGTGCCTCAGGATACGCTGGGAAGTCCCCGCACTTCTGGAAACGCAGGCTGCTCGGGAGCCTCTGTTCCAAGTACGGTTGCGATTTCCAGTGCAGGCGGGTACCATTAGAATTAATGGCACCTGCCCGAGGTTCCGCATTCTTCTGTGTGGGTGGTGCGGCTGCATAGATTTTTGTGCGGATCTGCAGCGGCACCACCTGCACTTGTGTGAACCTAGCCTTAGAGCAGCTTTAGACAACTCGGGAACACTGCAAAGGTACATATCTGCAGAAGGATAAATTACAAATACCAAGCATAGAGACAGACGAGAGAGGGAATCTGCCCAAAATGTTTAGCTGTAGGAAAATGTAGATGTTTCCTTTCAGTACTAACCTAGAATCCATGTTTATTCACTAACAATCTTTTTTGGTCTATTTTAGCTTTGGAACCAAGAATTGTGACAAGGTGGGACATACACAAGTATGCTCGGGCAGCTTATAATCTTGGAGTGAGATACATTGGTGGCTGCTGTGGATTTGAACCTTACCACACTAGGGCAATAGCCGAAGAACTGGCACCAGAAAGAGGCTTCTTACCCCAGGGTTCAGAGAAGCATGGCAGCTGGGGAGGTGGTCTGGACATGCATACCAAACCTTGGGTCCGAGCAAGGTGAGAACAACAAATTTAGTTTTGCATCTGCAGATTCACAGGTAGAGCTAGTGTTTAGGGATTCATCTTCTCTAGGCAAGCAAGTGATCTAAATGATGGGGCCCCTTTATTTTTTATTTTTTTGTCCCTTTTGTGTTGGTTGATATTTGTATCTTGAAATTAATACAATAGGAACTGAAATTGGCATTTGGTAGACAACACAACAGAAAATTGTATCAAATACTTACCGTAATTTTCCTTTCCTGGCACCAATCCATGACAACAACACGTGGTAATATGCTGTCATATTGGCGTCAGGAAAACGGAAAAGTGTGTCAAATTCTTACCGTAATTTTCCTTTCCTGGCGCCAATCCATCGCAGCAGATTGCCACACGCATGCTACCATGTTGGTGCCAGGAAAATTGTGTCATATTTTTATCGTAATCTTCCTTTCCTGGTGCCAATCCATTGCAGCATACTACTACATGTATGCTGCCATGTTGGTGACGGAAAACTATTTTTAGCAAAAGAACGATTGTTCATAGCAGTTTGTGTTTTTTTTTTTTTTTTTTTTTTTTTTTTTTTTTTGGGGGGGGGGGGTTTTCTCCCTGCTAACATGTACAAACGGTTAAAACGGTATTGCTTCTGTGATAGTTTTACCTCATTCACTAAGATATGCAAAGATTCACTTTGCAAGCAAACTTGTCCTACTCCTTTGGTCAAACCCCACTGCGTTCAGTAATTGATCAGCAGCTGCTTGGGGTGCACAGGTGCAGCGTTAGTCCGGTCTCTATGAAGATCAATGCTTCACTAGAAGCTCTGTGCTTTTTATAGACAAACATTCCAGGGAAAAAATCTGCTGATGCTGCTTGTAATGGTAGATGGCACTGGAGTCACTGACTACACTGACCTGCCTATATCCTGGAGTGAGCTTTAAGTACTTGATTTGACTTGGTAAAAGCCTTATGTAATCCCCTGTACAGCACCACTTTAACTAGCAAAGGAAGGGGCAGCCTTGGAGGGTAAAAGGGAAAGCACTTGTGCTGTAGAATATCTGAACTGGCAAGGATCCTTCTGACAGCAGAGTGCACAGAGCGATGGTCTTTGTTCTGCTTCTGGGGCCAGGTAGATGACTGGTCTGTATTGCTTTCAGGACTGGATGGACATAAATACAAATTAATACAGGTGAAACATCTCCCAACTGTAATTCCAGACAAACAGCGAAATACAGTATGTATTTCATTTGTGTACGTGGGAGCTGTTTTACTTGCCAAAAGGTGTTTTTTTTTTTTTTTTTTTTTTTTTTTTTTTTTCCCCTCTGTCCATGCAGTACTGAGATTTGCACAGTTCTGACATAGGGATACATCCTATCCGCATGCTCAGTCTACTGCAACACACCCGATTCACTCATTGTACTGCTTCTCCCTCTTTCTGCTGTGCAGGGCCTACAAAGAGGCTGTTGCCAAGTCAAATTCAGGTACTGACACAGCTTGCATAATGTAACAAAAAAAAAAAATTAAGGGTGTATTAATGATTAGTTACAGGCTGGAGCAAACCAGCGGAACTTGCTCTGATTTTTTTTTTTTTTTTTTTTTTTTTTGTGGGGGGAAACGGGGTGGAGTCAGTATCATTTTGCAAAATCTTCACCTAAGTGAGGATGGTGTCACTTTCCCCTCTTCCCTCCCACAGCCTCCTGAGGCACATCACATGTTCCAGGAGGCTGCAGGTGTTTAAAAGCAGAACCCCCTCCTTCCTACATCCAGGGGATGCAAGGTTTTGGCGGAAAAAATGCTTGACATATGTAAACGCACATTAACGCTAGTGGTTTCAGTGTACTTTAGAAATCATTGAGAATATGGCAAGATCATTGATAGGAGAAAAAGAGAATCCACAATTCAGGAAGAAGCAGTAACTGTCAATTGGTACTAAAACTGCAGTCCCTGAGAGATGGGCCTTTTTCCACTATTATCCATCCACTTTAAGACTATCAGCTGTGGGTGGATGTGGCTGGAACATAAATAGATGTAACCTTAATGTAAGAGTAGAATAGCTGAGGTGACAAGATCTGTAGACAGTGTAATTGTAGATAAAATTTAATTCTGTAGTATCCCATACAGTATTCCCCTAATCTGTAATAGACATCTGTTCTTCAATTAGCATTTGAAAAGGACAAAGCAAGCTTCTAGATGAGTTGACCACTAGATGCCATTAAAACTATCCCTTCCATGTAGACATGGATTTTTCGCCTTCCTAAACCTCAAAGAAAAGTCCTAGTCACTTTGTCTGCAAGCAGGTAGACTAGGACTTTTCTTTTGAGGTTCAGGAAGATGAATCATATCTACAATAACACCACTTCAACAGATCTTGTCACCTCTCTGCTATTGGCAAAACTATCCTACCCTTACATTTGTGTTACATCCACATTCACATTTATGTTACAGTAGCCTTTCAATCTCAGTTGTATTAATTGATCTTTTTTTTTTTTTTTTTTTTTTTTTTTTTTTGTGTGGCAGGGCCAGACGAGACTTTTGGGAGAACTTGCATCCAGCCTCTGGAAGACCATATTGCCCGTCAATGTCAAAGCCTGATGCCTGGGGAGTGAGCAAAGGAGATACAGAGCTGATGCAGCAGAAAGAGGCGACCACTGAAGAACAGCTGAAAGTGCTATTTGGAAAATCCTTCAAATCCAAGTAGATGGTCTTCTAATAACCTTCTGTAAGAATCCACAGAATTCTACAAAATGCCATCGATTCCTGTGTTCAGCAGTACATCATAATTCCAGTGATTGCTTAACATAATGACAGACTTTCTACAATAAATGATTTTTCTAAATAATTTTGTTGGTCATTTTGTTCTTGGTTTATACTTGACAGAACAATGATTAGATGGATAGACAGTACATTAACACAATATACCTCCAGCTCTTTAGATTCCCATCTTCCAATAAAGTGGAACTAAGGTCCTGCGTTACTCATTACAGGCAGGCTATTTTTTTGCAGAACAGACATGCCTACCTACCTGCTGTCCCCAGTCTCCAGCATGCAAACTGAGCTGTGGATGCTCAGCTCAACTTAGCTTATAGTGGCAACCCAATCCTTGTAAATCCTGAGCATTCGCAGGAGCAAATCATTCTGGCGCACATCTTTTGTCAGTCAATGAAGACTGGCACACAGAAGAAGATGCCAGCGAGGGATAGGGACCATTGGAGGAAAGGCAAGTATAGCCCTTTTTTTTTTTTTTTTTTTTTTTTTTTTTTTTTTTTTTTTTTTTTTTTTTTTTTTTTTTTTTTTCCTCCACCTTAAAATATAGGTGTACAAATAAAGAGTTTGTATTCTTAGATGCAGTAACCTAGAGCAATCACCTAAAGTAAGACTAGTATTAAAGGGATTCTGATTGGTTTGGTTTCTGTTTAATTATTATGATTATTATTGGAAACGAACGTGTTAAACAAGGTTAACAAGGTAGCAAAGCAATTTGACACAATACTTAAAAAGCAAACAATGAATTTTGAACATAATCAAGAAACCAAAGCAACTTAGTATAAATATAAAGGATTTATATAGCCCCAACAGTTGGAACCGTGCATTTATTTAATGTAAATGTAAAACTTTTTAGATTTTGTATGGTAAAATGGCCCATTAGTGTGTTTGTGATATATTGTAAAGGAAACCGGATCACCTGGTAGTGGCAACCGTAAATCCTCTGACACACAAACAAGTGGTACCTTTTTCAGTGTCCTGCCAGCAGTCAGCTTTTTCTTTTTACCAACAGCAGAGCCCTGAGCACTAGTCGGCGTCCACCCCCCCCCCCCCCCCCCCCCCTGCTTCCCAAAGACAAAAAAGCAAAACTTTGTTAGTGAAGTGAGCCTTGGATTGCACCAATGTGCCATCTAGTGGTGATAGTACAAAACATGCATATAAAGCAAACCAGGATATGTGCAGAGTACAACTAAATCTCAGCAGGCTAGATATAGACAAAGTAGAAAAATACAACTAATGCATAAACCGAACTGGCGAGCATGACCCCCAAAAAATGTCAGTAATAAGATGTTATGTATGAGTAATTTATGGGGTCTGACAATGTGGAACAAGGACTAGATGACAATGGTCCGAAAATGGAATTATCTCCAATTATCTCTCCCAGCCACCCAAAACAAAACCCTCCAAAAAGCCCTGGGGGGGGGGGGGGGTAGTGGCGTCAAGTGACACAATCCATCTGGTTTCATTTTGGAGTAAGTTTGTTCCAATCTCCCCCTACCACTAGGGTGGACTGTATCAAGGATGGTAAATTAGATTTTTGGAAACCACTCCCACTATTTTACAATTAGCAAAGTGTCAAGGCCTATATCTATCCCCATTTGCTAGAATGGTATCTGTCGGTATTCATGTATGACAATCTAAACTTACCTAAGCTTTTACAGGGGTCTTTTTTTTTTTTTTGCATATGAGGATATGTCCCCTTTGAAGCAGTCACTCTTAGTTTGGCTGCTTGTGCTAGAAAATCACTATTGTTTAAACAGTTGCACCTAATGCTCAAATACTGGCTCTATGGGATTGAAGAGATTAAGGACCGAGAATATGAACTCTGGGCATGAAGGATTGTGTTCCCTGCAGTGGCTTTCCTATAGAGATTACTGGTGAGAATTCCATCTGAATCTTTGTTGATGGTGCTGTCTAAAAAAGTAATCATCACCGGATTATGGACCATTGTAAATTTGAGATTGAAGGTGTTAACCTATTTTTCATGGCTTCAAGGCAGCATGAAAGTAAATGAGTTTTTCCCTCCCAGATGAGGAAGATATCCTCTATATAGCGATACCACATGCTAATATAGTTGGTCAAAAATTCCCACTCCTCACCTGCCAGAAAAGTTCATTCCCACTACCCCAAGTATGGATTGGCGTAGGAAGGGGAACAGGTCCCCATGGCCACGCCCTGCACCTGAAGGTAAAGGAAACAATCAAAGATGAAAACATTGTGAGCTAGAATGTGTTCTAAGGCCAGAACCACAAATTAATTTAATCTTTGGTCTTGCTTGTGCGACTGAGACAGTATGTTTAATGATGGAGAGTCCCTTGTAGTGGGGGATAGAATTATACAGTGCCTCTACATCAATCACTACTAAGATGGCATCTTTAGAGAGTTGAATACCCTCCAGATTTAGTAGCAAATGGATTGTATCTCAAACATAGGATGGAAGATTAGTGACAAAGAGTTTTAATCTTTCTTCTACAAAATGACATTTTCCATCGAAGAACCACAACCTGATACAACTGGTCTTCCTGGAGCGTCTGAGCTGTTCTTCTGAATCTTGGGCAAAGCATAAGTTTGGGGTTTTGGGATGGCTTGTATGAACAAATTCCCACAGTTTCATCTATGACCCTGTTTAGAAAAGCCTCATCAACTAAGCAGTAGAATTCTCGGTTGTAATTCTCTAAAACAGATTTAGAGACTGGGCAGTACCACTCACTATTGTTCAGCACTTTAAAAACGCATCTTTTTGTATTGGTCATTGCTCATGACAACAATGTTTCAACCTTTGTCAGATGGCTTGATCGTTATATCAAAGCGGTTAGTTTGTTTAATGCCACTTTTTCACTCTCGGTGAGGTTATTTATGGAATTGCTGACCTTCAATTTATTAATTTCTTTCATTGTTAGGGTTATAAATGCTACTAAGTTCAGATTAGAGCTTAAAGAGAGGAATTTATCTGACTTTTTTCGAAGAGTGGATGGGCCTAATTCAGAGTTTTCAGGGCTAATGTGTTGATTAAGTAGAGTTTCAATATCCAGCTGGTCAATAAGGTCAGCCGGAGGTGCTTCATTCACCACTTCTTGATTGTCATTCAAAGTGTGATAGCACTAAAAGCTGAAAATTGGACTGGACAGGTAGGGGGTGAAAGTGTCCAGGACACTTTCATCCCCTTCCTGTCCAGGCCAATTTTCAGCTTTCAGTGCTATCACACTTTGACAATTGCGCAGTCATGCAACACTGTACTCACATTAAATTTGTAGCATTTTTTTAGACAGATAAACCGTTATTTTGGTGGTATTCACCACTGAGATTTTTTTTGCTATATAAATGAAAAAGTCCAAACATTTTGAAAAACAAGTGTTTTTCTTATAAAATTTTACAAATAATCTTTCTTCATAAATCTTGGCCAAAATGTATTCAACTATCTTTTTAGTAAAAAAAAGTTTAAAAAATGTGTGTTTTTTTTTTAACATACTGTCACCCTAGCCGTACAGTGTCAGCATAGTGACACTGTACTACTTGTGGGGGGTGATGAAGATTTTTTTTTTCACACGGATTGCTTTTACACCTATAAATGCTGTAAAAGCAATCATATCTACTTCTCTCTGGCTGCATTCTTACAGCCATTGAGAAATACTGAGAGCTGTGATTGGTCACAACTTGTCACATGGTACAAGGCTGTTGTGAATAGCCTTGTACCATGTGACCTCCTGTGATCATTCACAAATTTCACAAGTAAGCAAAGATGTCAGGAAGTGATATCTTGCTTACTACTTTGCATGTGATCACTAATTGGCCAATCAGTGTTCACATGATTGGGACCTCACACAGAGGTCCCGTACAGCGATCGGTCTTCTGCTGTGTCTTCCGGACACAGCGGGCACCGGATAGTGGTGCTACGCACTCCCAGGAAGCGTGCACAGACATTGAATTCGGAGACTGTTTATAAACGGCCACCCGCTCCTGCACTGCTCCCGTCCGGCCGTTTTTGTACGTGGGCTAGATGGGAAGTGGTTAAGAAGTGCTATAAAGTCCTCCAAGGCCCGATCCTGTTGATCAGAAGTGGATGTGAATTGATTAGGATCTTTAGAAAATGTACTTTTAAAAATAAGTTGGCATGCAAATAATTGTAAATCTTTTAGGACTTCAAACTTGTTAATATTTTGATCAGGACAAAAATTAAGGCCTTTTGTAAGCAGCTGTATTTCATCATCAAAGAGAGCATGTGGAGAGATTGATAATATAATATTGCATTCACATTTAATTCGGGGTTCCTTAGTATAATGAGATTTCCCAATGTCGGCTACACTTGTCCCTATATGGGATCTAAAAACGTCTTGGTGGAATTGAAGGGAATTGGGGAGGAAGCCATATTTTGTGACTGAGAAGAATAGTTAACTAAAGTGTGGGAATCATTCCCCGAGGGCCTGGGGGGGGGGCGCGAAGAGCATGAAGATTGTTGCGTACATTACCTGCTCTACTCACTGAGGCAGTCCCGGGGGAGCGATTCTCCACACTATGTGAAAAGGGGCCCTCCAGGGTGCATTTTTTTACTTGGCTGTCCTGACCATCATCTGGTACAAAACATTTAAATTTGCGTGGACCTTGGTAGTGGTTTGGGAAGAGGGGACGATGGAGAGGAATTCACTGATGAAAAGGAACTTCTCATGCCTTCACTATGTGGTAAGGCTCTATTAAAGCCCCTATTGTGTCTATTCCTCAAATTCCATCTATATGCCCATCCCTCCTAGAAGGCTAGAGTGCATCCACCGATCCATGAGCCAGTCTGATGTAAGCAGGCACTCTAATGGGGACACCTGAAGTAAGGAGGCACTTGTTAAATATCGTGACACCTATAATATTTGTGTCCTCCTTAGGAGTTTAGGTAAATTGTTCTAGTGCCAGGCTGATTTAAAACAGTGTGACTTTTATTTAGCTCAC